TATTGATCTAAAAGCAGGATATAAATGTGTCAAACAGATAAACAAACAAAGAGCTTTCAAGGATAAGTTGGCAACTAAGCAAGCATCAGTTATTCCCTCCCCATCAACCTGATATAAATCTTAAGACAACCTCACGAGACTTTGGCCGTTCTTTAATTAACATTGGTAACGGGTTCATTCCTGTATTTTTAATTCTGAACATCTGATGCCTGGGTGGCAGAATATTATGACCTGTAATACTTGGAGTTGCCACCCTGCAGTCAAAGCCATGAATATTCTGCCTCTGAAATGAAAGCTTGACATTGCTCATTGTTAGCCTGGCTTCCACAAATGTGTCTTATTTCTTTTTAAGCCAAGTAATAGTTGGCAGCCATTTTTAAGGTATTGTGACTTTGGTGCAGCTCTTGTTAGTTTCAAAACAACACACCAAACTCTTTTGTGAATCACTTGGAGAAAGTCACCATCCCCTCTGTACTTCTTTGCATACAAGACTAATGAACGAGTATCTGGTTCGTGGGGATGGCGGTGGGCCTTGGCTGGTGCTGTAGTTTTTAAGGCCACCTTGCTGGTGCACGGCCAGAAACTACAGAGGCTTCAAGAGTCTGGTGGTTTTACAGAAAGCCAAGGAGGGCTATTGCTTTAATTTTTTCCTTTGTCTTGGCTTAGTCTCTACAATATGCTATGATCCTGCCGGGAAAACCAGATACCTTGCGATCTGCCAGGCGTATGGCGTGGTTCCTATCTCTTATTTTTTACGGCATATGAAAGATTCTGAGCTGGCTCTGATGCATCGTGGCCTTGGCCCTAAGGTAATCGCTGCCAGGTGTCTTTTTCTTTTGGGTCCTGCCACATCGGGGCTTGCTTTGCCCTCTGCAAGTATGAATCCCCTCGCTGCCCCTGGATATTCTCTCAGCCCTCTTCTCCCTCTCCCTTTTTCCATCTGCATCACACGTGGGAATATTATTGTAAGGACCCACCTCACTTTACATCTTAAGAAGACAGAACTCTTGGAATCTCTCTTCCAACAGGCATCTTTATTAAGAGAAAATGATTGCAGGCATTCTAGACAGGATCTGAGGGATCAACCCCTACCATTCAATGTTTTAAGTGTTCCCAAGCAGCCCCCACCCCACAGTTCTTCCGGGCGATGATCACTCATCCTCTCTTTTCCCAGATCCCAGGCGTTGCATTGTTCCACCCCTTTTCCCTCACTCCCGGCAAAAGGGAGACTTCAGAGAGAGAGTAGATGAAAGGCGATAGCCATATTGTTATGGTCAGTTCTCTTGATGAGAATCAACATCCAGTCACTTTGTAGTTTAAATGAAGGAAGTGAGAGTCATAAAACCCCCTTGCTTATCCTCCTCCCCTTTTGTAGTATGACAGAATCCAGGGAGAGTAAGAAATAGGTTTTTTTCAGAATAGGTAGCTAGAAATGAAATATAATTGGATTCTGACAATTATATTTCTTTACAGAGTTATTTGTGGGAATAATCAGGGAGCATTACGGTACCAACATTACACCGTGGCAGAAATATGTAGGTGCAATTAGACTGGCACCTGATGCGTTCCATTAAATTTTACCTTCAAAATTAAAAATGTTCAAGGCGTCTTATGGAGAAAAATTTAAACACATCTAAAGAAAATACAATCATTAGTAGCAAAGCATAAGCAACCAATTTGGTCAGTGTAAAATAGAGAAACAAAATAGACCAAGTGAAATGGCAGAGTGGTTGTCAGAATCCAATTATATTTCATCTCTAGTTATCGACTATGGAAACCCCCATTTCTGCCCTCTCTGGATTCCGTCATACTACGAAGGGGAAGGGGGATGAACAAAGGGGTTTTATGGCTCTCACTTCCTTCATTAAAACTTCAAAGGGACTGAATGTGGATCGCACCAAACGGACTTATAACAATAGGGCCTATCAGCTTTCATCTATTCCTCTCTGAAGTTTCCCTTCCGCCGGCGTGAGGAAAAGGGGGTGGGAATGTAACGCCTGGGATTGTCGCTGGAAGGACGGTGGGGTGGGGTGGGGAGCTGCTTGGGAACACTTAAAACCTTGAACCGTAGGGCTTGGGCTCCAGGTCCTGTCTAGAACGCCTGCAACCATCTTCTCTTAATAAAGATGCCTGTTGGAAGAAATATTCCAAGAGTTCTGTCTTCTTAAGATGCAAAGTGGGGTGGGTCCTTACAGTGGTAAAGAGATCCTGGCCTGGCACTACTAAGATGGCAGAGCAGGCTCAGGGACCAGCCTTCTATCGGAACACTACCCACTAAACTTTTGATGAGGAGAGCCAAAGAGGGGCCCTTTATGAAGGACGTAGAGGAGAAGAGGGTCCCAGTCCTTCATTCGGTCACTTTCGCTTCAGTTTGTGACCATTTGTCTCCAGAGATGATGCTTCTGTGCTTTAAGCGAGATCTGCGGTTCCTGGCAAAACAGCCTCCAGGGCCTTGGCCACCCCAGCTAAATGGGACTTAATGGATTCACAGGCAGCAGGTGCTGCTGGCATATGGTGCAGCCCCCCCACTCCCCCCCAGGGCTCTGCTTGATCTATATGGGAAACAGGAGGCCAGATGGGCTCAGGTGGCAGTAGAGCTTTGCTGCCCACGCTTCCAGGCCACAGATGAGGTGACCTCGTTTTCGTGTTACGGCTGCATGGCTGCTGAAATAATCCACCAGCAGCTGTGGCACAAGTCCCTGGGAGGCGAGCTGGAGCATGTGGTGGGTGAGGCTAAAGGCAAAGCTGCATGGGGCTATCTTGGTCCAGTGCCTCTCCTGTCAGAATCCAGTTATATTTCATCTCTAGTTATCAACTATGGAAAACCCCAGTTCTGCCCTCTCTGGATTCTGTCATACTACGAAGGGGAAGGGGGATGAGCAAAGGGGTTTTATGGCTCTCACTTCCTTCCTTACAACTTCAAAGGGACTGAATGTGGATCTCACCAAGAGGACTGATCGTAACAATAGGGCCCATCAGCTTTCATCTACTCCTCTCTGAAGTTTCCCTTCCGCCGGCCGTGAGGAAAAGGGGGTGGAAATGTAACGCCTGGGATTGTCGCTGGAAGGACGGTGGGGTGGGGCTGCTTGGGAACACTTAAAACCTTGAACCGTAGGGCTTGGGCCCCAGGTCCTGTCTAGAACGCCTGCAACCATCTTCTCTTAATAAAGATGCCAGTTGGAAGAAATATTCCAAGAGTTCTGTCTTCTTAAGATTTCTGCAGAAAAAGAGGTGTTGCTTGGCTGGGGGTCTAAAAAGGCCACTGGCTAATGGCTTTCCAGTTTTGGCAGAGCCACTTGCAAAATTTAAAAAAAGACCATGCCAGCTCCCAGGCAGCAGTTTGCCTCCCCCAGGACCCCAAACCTTGACCCCTGCCGGAGGACTGGGCTAGATCTCAGCACCGCTGCCCTCATAGCTCGTCCCTCCTCTGCCTCTTCTTTTAGGCAGCCAAAGCTCTCGCTCTTTCCCTGACCAGCAACACCTCCATTGTGAAGCTGAACCTGAGCGACAACGGGCTGGATGGAGACGGCGCAGTGGCGATGGCAGAGATGTTAAAGGAGAACTGCTACATTTCAGGTGCCTGGGAGATTCTGAGAATTGCTTCAGGGGGCGAAAAATGGAGAGTCCATGTAATCCATCTGCCTTGAGATGTTTGGGGTTGCCGTTAAACCGTTGTTAGATCCCCTCTAAATAACGTCCAGTTTCTAAAAGCAAAGATTTGCTTTTTCATATAATACAGCAGTAAAGCTCGAAGTGTGTTGTAAACGGTCTTAAGAATGCAGTCCTCTTTTATTAGGGGCGACCCAAGCATCATGAGATTGTGGTTTGTAGATTTCTTTATTTGCTTGACAACATTTATGTGCCGCTCCCAAATAAAGACTCCATGTTTGATGGGTTGAGCTGAGTGTCTTTCTCCAAGGATTCCCCACGGAACCAGTTGTGGCCTTTGACCAGCTTTCATTCCTGGCCAAAGTAGAGATTGAGGAACAAAGACATGTTGGCCTAATGGTTCCGGGGGATTCTGTATGTTGAGCCAGCTGAGAGATCGACCTCCTTCTCTTTCAGAACTTGATTTATCAGAGAATAAAGTCGGAGTGAAAGGGACAGAAGCTCTGTCTACGGTGCTTCAGGAAAATCCAATTCTGGTGTCCTTGAAACTTTCAGGAAATGAATTAAACGACAGGGCAGCCAAATACCTGGCAGACGCTTTAGTGACCAATCAGAAAGTGGAGCACCTTGATCTGAGTCATAACAGGCTCGGAGAGCCAGCAGGTACTGTAAATGTCATAGAAATATTGTATTTGGCTGTCGTGTGGGAAGCTCTGTAGCACCTGTGAGAAAGACACACACCTACACATGCAATTTGCCTATTCATGGCCCTTTGGTTTCTAGAGCACCGCATACCTTTATGCGGAATATGAATTGTTAAATCAAGAACCAGCTGTGGTTTTCATAAGCTAAGAACTAACCATTAGGGTTTACTTTTGTTGGGGGGGAAAGAATTGCTGGATTGTGACTCCTGCCCTCCCTCCCTCCCTCTTTCTTGCCTTGTTACCTGCTGTGGCTTGGAATCTCCTTCTGTGCCTGACCCCACGCGAGGTTTTGACTTCCCACCAGTCCGATCTCTTTCTTCTCCTTATGTTTTGAAGAAGACTTTGTGATTTGATGGAGAGCAGGCGGGGACAAAAAGAAGAGAGAGTATGCAGAAAATAGGGAAGAGCTACCAATGTTGAGGAAGCGAAAAAGAAAATTAAGGTAGGGATTAGAAAGTTGGGCTCACTTAAGTTTCTGCCTGCCCTTTTAAGAGTTTTACCCATTGGTTTACCATAAAAATTGCTTCCTGAAACTAGAATTATTGATCTGTAATCCTAAAATTGTGTAGGAGTAATAAAAAGCAGTATAAAAAGGTTATCGAAATAATTTATTTAGCATATGGCATATCATACGTGGACTAGCAATATAAATTAACAAGTCAAAATAATATGAATATTAGAGAGAGAGAGAAAGAGAGACAAAGCCAGAAATGGGAAGATAAAAAAAAATACACACATATTGCTGAAAAGCATTACAATTGACTCCTGATAACTTTTTCTGAGGAGAGCAGTCCAGAAAAAAGATTAAAAAATCAAGTCAGATCTTTGAGTAGGCTACAGAGACATTGTTTTCTGGGGAAAAAATACAAAGAAGGATTGCTAATATTTTCTTGTAGAGTATATTGTCAACTTATCAGTCTGAGATTTCCAGAGAAAATCTGGCAATTTCTTTCTAGCACTGGCCAGAATTACCCTGAGTTTTATGTGACAGCGAGGTCAGCCAGAAGCTGCAAACTGCTGGGTCAAAGTAAAGATGCCACAAAGGTTGTGTCTCCTCCAAATTGGTTGGAAAACCCACCGAAAACTTTGTCTTAGATCTTCAGTCCGATCTCTGGAAAACTTGAAGTGCCTGAGGAGAACTGGGCTTCCACGACAGCTAGGCCAGGGGTAGGCAACCTTGGCTCTTTTATGACTCGTGGACTTCAACTCCCAGAATTCCTGAGCCAGCATGGCTTAGCTTGGAAACCTCTCCCTTTCCCCTCAGCGTGGCTGGCTCAGGGATTCTGGGAGTTGAAGTCCACGAGTCATAAAAGAGCCAAGGTTGCCTACCCCTGAGCTAGACTGACCTGAGGGAGGAGAATAAGACCCCTCCATGTCATGATGTCAATCCCTTGAAAGCCTCTCTGTGAGCCCCCGGTCTCCTCAAATGGGCGGCATGCAGGGGAACGGCTTTGTGAATGGCGCCAAGCCTGTGGGAGTCATCTGTTTCTGCAACTCTCTGCTGATTCCCATAAGCAGGTGTTCCTCAGAGTTCCTGGCTCTGTGGGAACCACCTCTTCCTACTGCTTGCAGATCCTACTATCCTTCCCTTCTTCCTCTGTGAGCTGATATCTCTGCTGAGGCTAGAAGACTTGCTTGGCGAAACGTCAGCAGAAAAATCCACATTAGGTTGGATAGCAATAGCACTAAGACTTGTATACTGCTTCACAGTGTTTCACAGCCCTCTCTCCAAGCAGTTTACAGGATCAACCTATTGCCTCCAAAAATCTGGGTCCTCATTTTATTGGCCTCAGAAGGATGGAAGGCTGAGTCAACCTTGAGCTGGTGAGAATCAAACTGCAGGCAGTGGGCAGAATTAGCCTGCAATACCGCATTCTAACCACTGCACACTATAGAAGGAAGGAAGGGAGGGAGGGAGGGAGGGAGGGAAGGAAGGAAGGAAGGAAAGGAAAGAAGGAAAGAGCAATAGCAAGAGCACTTAGACTTATATACCACTTCATAGTGCTTTACAGCCCTCTTTAAGCTGTTTAGAGAGTCAGCATTTTGCCCCCAACAATCTGTCTCCTCATTTTACCGACCTCGGAAAGATGGAAGGCTGAGTCAACCTTGAGCCGGTCACGATCGAACTGCTGGTGGTCGGCAGAGTTCGCCTGCCATACTCATTCTGATCACTGCACCACCACGGCTCCTGTACGGGGAGAGGCTGCTACTGTAAAGGTGGGGTGGGATCCAAGGGGGTGTCCTTCTTTTCCAAAGCCTCCCTCAGTTTGACATTTCAGGCCTCTTTCCCATTTCTCGTGTCTCCGTCTCCATTGAACCAGGAGAAGCCCTCGGGATGGCCATGGCAGAAAATGTGGGCTTGAAGCAACTCAACCTCAGCTGGAACAACTTTCGGGGCCAAGGAGCAGCGGCTGTCGCCAAAGGCTTGGGGGTAGGAAAGGGGACTTCGTTCGAGAGGCTTCCTCATGGATAAAGTTATAAAGCATAAGATCTTGTTTCACCCCTCCATCCCCTAAAGGGCAAACAAGTTTGAAATAGTTTGGCCCTGCTTGTTCTAGTGCAGGGCTAGGCAACCTTGGCTCGTTTATGACTCATGGACTTCAACTCCCAGAATTCCTGAGCCAGCCGTGCTGAGGGGAAAGGGAGAGGTTTCCAAGCTGAGCCATGCTGGCTCAGGAATTCTGGGAGTTGAAGTCCACAAGTCATAAAAGAGCCAAGGTTGCCTACCCCTGTTCTAATGTATAGCGCAGGGGTGGGCAACTGCGGCACCTAATGTTTTTTTTTATTATTGTTTTAATGGTTTTTACTGCTTTTATTGTTTTAAAATGTTTTAAAGATTTTAATCATGATATATGTTTCTGAATCCTGAGCCACCCAGTGGCGTTTGCTGAGATGGGTGGCTCTAGAAATCAAATGGACTTCAGCTCCCAGAAACCCCCAGGCAGCTACTGTATGCTGCCGAGGTTGAGAAACACTGACCTCAATAGTGGAAGAGGTAGCCTGTTTGGAAAGAACCTGGAAGCAAATCTTGAGTGGGTGAAGGCCCGGGAACTCTCCGTCAGGGTATGGCTTGTGATTGGAAGCTCTAGGTGGCAAGGGAAAAACTCTTGTGTCAGGACCCACTTCAACGAATCACTCAAGAAAGCAGAACTCATGAAACAGGCATTGTCTCAACTTTTATTAGGGACTAGTGACAGTAGGGAGTGTAAGGCGAGATCTGAAGAAAAGCCCGCGTGAATGATAGAATTAAAGCATCTTGTCTCCTGTGGACTCTCCACCTTGGATCTTCTCCAAGCACTGCTCAATCTGTCTTGTTCCACAGGCAAATATATTCCTTCGAGTCCTTGATCTGTCATACAATGGCTTTGGCAACAGTGGTGCAGCTGCTCTGGGGGCAGCCCTGAAAAGCAACAATGTACTGGAAGAACTCAACATCAGGTAACAAGGCGTGTATGTGTGTGTTTGTGTGTGCATGTGCCTGCACTTCCTGAGTGCTGAGAGCTGTTTCTTAATCATCCTTGGCACAAGCCAGCAAAGTGAATAGTTTCTAGGATCCCCTTTTGCCATCAGGGCAGTTGAGGCTGAGACCATCAAGTGAGCTTCCGGCAAAGGTTGGATTTGAATCAGGAACCTCACCCGCTTTAGGGGGAGAGGAGAAACTGGCAGTCTCTTCTCTCCCATCTTCCCCTCTGCTCAGGCTGCCTTTCCAGAACAGAACAGAACAACAGAGTTGGAAGGAACCTCAGAGGACTTCTATTCCAATCCCCTGCTCAAGCAGGAGACCCTATACCACAGGTCGGCAACCCGCGGCTCCAGAGCCGCATGTGGCTCTTTGAGCCTTCTCCTGCGGCTCCCAGCCTCCTCTGCCATTTGCAGAGAGAGAGACAAAGATAGAGAGAGGCACTTGTGCTTCCCTTCTCTCTCTCTCTCTCTCTCTCTCTCTCTCTCTCTCTCTCTCTCTCTCTCTCTCTCTCTCTCTCTCTCTGTGTGTGTGTGTGTGTGTAAAAAAGAGTGGCCTCACACTGTTCTTGGACAAGCTGACAAGTTTATTGGGCGCGGCTCCTGCCTTTGCTGTGTCTCAGCAGGAAGCAGCAGAAAACAGCAGAAAGCAGCAGCATCTCTCTCTCTCTCTCTCTCTCTCTCTCTCTCTCTCTCACACACACACACACACACACACACACACACACACACACACACACACACACTAAGTGGGGGAAGAGGACTGGCAGACTAAGGGCAGGAAAGAGCCAGTCCAATAAGAATATGTGTCAGCTTCTCGGAGAACAGTGTGAAACCAGCTTGCCAGGTGAGCAGAAGATCGGAGAGAGGGGGGGGGAGAGGGAAGGAGAAAAAGAGAGGGAGGGAGAGAGGGAGGAAGAGAAAGAGAGGGAAAGAGAGAGAGAGAACTCATGCACAGCAACCTCTATTTCTTTTTAATTAAACTCTTCAATCAAGCTCCCCCCCCCCTCATGCGCGTGCATGTTTTGCAGCTCCCGGTGTTTTTTTTTCTCTGGGAAACGGGTCCAGGTGGCTCTTTGAGTGTTTCAGGTTGCCGACCCCTGCGGGCCTATACCATTCCAGACAAGTGGCTGTCCAGCCTCTTCTTAAAAGCCTCCAGGAATGAGCAGCCACAGTTTCTGAAGTTGTGGGTGCTCCAACACTGTCACCCTCAACTATTCTCCCTCTGGCTTAGTGTTTGGGGCACCCAGGGGAAAAAATCGTTTTGATGGGCAACATTTTCCTCGGAAGAGAACGTCTGCTGAAGTTAGTTCCTTTGCTACTTCCCTAATTGGCGTCTTTAGACCTGACCAAGCTCTAAAACGTTTAAATGTATTAACTAAGAGGGAAGATTCGATCTCTTATCATAGTTGGTAGATTAGCTTATTCCCAACAGCAAGCTAGTGTGGGTCAGTGCACAGGCGTGCAGGAAGAGCAAAAGTGGGGGACTTCTGAGTGCCTTTTCTCTTTATTCTCAGTAATAACCGCATCGCCTTGGAAGGAGCCCTCGCGCTTGCTTCGGGCCTGAAAGGAAACAAGAATCTGAGGAGACTCAAGGTGAGGAGCATTTGGGAAGGTGACCCTGAGATCCTAATAGCCCTGCCCGGAGGGTGATCCAGAGGGTGTCTGTTCTTTCCTGTGATCTGCAGATGTCCAGGAACCCCATCCAGAATGAAGGCTGCCTTGGCATCCTCAAAGCCATCCGAGCAAATCCTGGAGCTGCGATGGAGTTTCTGGATTTTTCAGTAGGTGGCTGGTCAAAGAGGGAAAATCGGCTGTGCGAAATGACGATGCAGGACTGTCTAAATCAGGGGTAGTCAACCTTGGCTCTTTTATGACTCGTGGACTTCAACTCCCAGAATTCCTGAGCCAGCTAAGCTGGCTCAGGAATTCTGGGAGTTGAAGTCCACGAGTCATAAAAGAGCCAAGGTTGACTACCCCTGGTCTAAATGGATGGGGAACCGAACACAGTGCATTGTGGCATCTGGCCAGAGTTCCCCAAGGAGGGCAGCGAAGTTGTGAGAGGGACGCCAAGTAAAGGGAAATCCAGGCCAGAAATGCTTGGTGGATGTAATTCTGGCTTCTGCAGTGATCAGGTGACAGCAGGAACAGGAGGATCAAGGGAATAATGAATTTGTGAAGTTGCTGCAACTGCACCGATTAAGGGGAAAGGAGAGGCAGCCACGGCTTGGAAGTAGCTTGCATTTCTTTCCTCCAGAATGCCTCTTCGCCTTCCCAATTTCCTTCTGGTCTCCCATCCGAATATCAACCAGACCTGCCCCTGCTTGGCTTCCAAGCCGAGAAAAGGTTGCAAAGTTAGATTAAGGTTAGGTTAATGCATTAAGGAAGATAAGGCCTATTTACTTTAGAGGTGCTGCATTCCAGACTGGAATACAGCCGTGTGTGTGTGTGTGTGTGTGTGTGTGTGTGTGTGTAATAGAAGGGAAAGGCCATTTCCTCAAGCCTTGAAGATGAGGTTTCCAGCTCAACACAGCACAGCATCAGCAGGGCCTTGGTCTGATCCAAGGAGGGTTATTTTCTGTCCTTCTCAGGAAAAGGGCTCCCTTGTCACTAATGTCCACTGCTGGTCTGTTCCCTGTCTTTGGGTGAACCCGCCTCATCTGGCTGCCTCTCTCTCCTGGCCCGCAGCAGCTTTGCTTTGTGGCTGTTGGTTGGACTGCACGGGAGCACAAGATGGGAGACTTGTTTTAATCTGGCCTGAGACTGTGGCAGCTTCAGCACCGATCTGCTCACTGCCCGGCATTCCTCTTTTTCAGGCGATTGTGGTGAAGAAGGACTTTGTCCGAGCCTGTGAGGCTGTCCAGGCACTTTTCCCGAGCCTTCTGATTCAGCACGATGGAATCACTCGCTTGTTCAGAAGAGAATTTCCAAAGGTGCAGCACATAACTTTGCTTCTCTGGGGAACACGCTTGTCTTTCTGTGGCTGGATGCCCTAAATCAGTGATGGCGAACCTTTTAGAGACCGAGTGCCCAATCTGCAACCCAAAACCCACTTATGCATCGTCAAGTGCCAGGTGGGCATGGCCCATTGGGTGGGTGTGGCCCATTGGGTGGGCGTGGCTGCAGTGGTAACGGCAGACTGGGTGGGACTAAAAAGTTCAATCAATCAATTCCAACTTTGCGAGATCTTTTTTTTTCCTGCAAGAAGTTGAAATTGATTGATTGATTGAACCTTTTTTCTTTATTTTGCACACGGCGGCAGAGGCCTAAAGCGAAAAGGTTTTATAAAACCCAGCTGAAGGCCTAGGACTGGGGCGACGGCGCGCGTGCCCACAGAGAGGGTTCTGAGTGCCACTTGTGGCACGTGTGCCATAGGTTTGCTACCACAGCCCTAAATGCAGGGGGGGGGGGGTCTCCACCCTTGGCAACTTTAAGACTTGACTTCAAACTCCTAGAACTCTATACCGGCTGAGGGATTCTTGGGAGTTGAAGTCCACAGCTTAACGTTGCCAAGTTTGGAGACCCCTGCCCTAGTGTGCTGTTCCTTCCTACTGCTGTCTCAGCTCAGACAGGCCCAGCAGCACATGGGTGTTTCTGTGTGGGTGTGTGTGCCAAGGGGATCAGCGTGATGGAAAATGTGCCGGGTTGTCAAGCCACAAGCATCCCTGTCATGGCTGCCTCTGCTAGGAAAGGAAAAACCCTTCCCTCCATAAGATTAAGAAAAAAAGCTACTTTTATGAGGAAAGAATTAACTGCAGCCACTTCTTTCCTACTCAAAGTTACCTTTTCTCTAAATCTATGGAGCGGAGGGTTTTTCTTTCCTGGGATTTGAGTAGAGGCAGCCTTGACAAGCCCAGTGTCGCACACAAAGCTAAAAGCCGGCAGCACAAGGCCCCACAAGGTCACTTTTGTTATTCTGCCCAAAGCAGGGAGAGCTGCTGAGCAGACTTGGAAGTTTTTGTAGCCCCTGGAATCTGTTGGCTCTCGATGATCCCCTGATTGTGAATACTTGCAGCATCTGGGTTCCCAGTCGTCCAGGGAAACGTTGCAGGGAAAATAATTCAGAAGCCTTGTGAGAGATTTAGCTGACTTCTGTTCCTGCCTCTGAGGAACGTTGGGTGGCTCCAGACGCCCTCTGAAAGGAAGTTCTGCAGTCCACAGTGCTGCAGGGTGCTGCCTCTGCACAGCGGCACTGGGGGTGTCCAGCCAGACCAAAGATGATTTCTTCCACTAGACCAGGGGTAGGCCACCTTGGCTCTTTTAGGACTCGTGGACTTCAACTCCCAGAATTCCTCAGCCATCATGGGGGAACTATGGCCCCCTTCATGACTCGTGGACTTCAACTCCCAGAATTCCTGAGCCAGCGTGGCTCAGCTTGGAAACCTCTCCCTTTCCCCTCAGCATGGCTGGCTCAGGAATTCTGGGAGTTGAAATCCACGAGTCATAAAAGAGCCAAGGTTGCCTACCCCTGGTCTAGACTAACAAAGAGAAGGACTAAGGACGACATGATAGCAGTCTTCCAATATTTGAGGGGCTGCCACGGAGAAGAGGGGATCTTAACTTATTTTCCAAAGCACCAGGCTAAGAAGTAACTGGCAGAGATCCAACTTAGAAATAAGGAGAACTTTCCTGTTAATTAGAACAATTAATCAGTG